AGTCCAACTATAATAAAAACATTTTTTTAGAAATAATACTAACAAGTCATATAAATTTACCTAGTGACTGAAGTTTTAGACTTTCTTCGGACAACGAAATCATTATCATTGGAAGAAAAGAAAAAGCTTTTCAGAAATATGAGCAGAAACTACGGTCGAACCGCGTTATGTTTAAGCGGTGGTGCATGTTTTGGTTACTATCATCTCGGTATAGTTAAAGCCCTATTCGATGCTGACGCCCTGCCAACAGTGATCACTGGTACCAGTGCTGGCGCCCTTATCGCTGCACTGGTCGGAGTGAGGAAGGATGATGAGCTTTCGCAAGTGCTTAGTCCTAGGCTTAGTACACGTCTTACTGCGTGTTCTGAACCCTTTCCTGAATGGTTGAAAAGATGGTGGAAATCAGGTGCTCGATTTGATGCAGTCGATTGGGCAAAAAAAGTTCAATGGGTTACAAAAGGAAGTCTCACATTTAGGGAAGCGTACGAAAGAACAGGAAGAATTCTTAATATATCCGTTATACCTTATGATCCACATTCGCCTCCAAAAGTTTTAAATTACATTACTGCACCTGATTGTGTCATTTGGTCTGCAGGTAAGCTATTAAATGCAATATGATATGATGATTTTATGACGAAACCAATTAATTTCTTGTTTATTACTTGTAGTAATTGCAAGCGCCGCTGTTCCCGGAATTCTTAATCCTGTGGTCTTAATGCAAAAATTGAAAAATGGCACTTTAGTTCCATACAACTATGGTCATAGGTGGAAGGATGGTTCTTTACGCACCGATATTCCCGTTCAAATCCTTAACATGCATTTTAATGTAAAAAACACCATAGTCTCTCAAGTGAATCCACATGTTCATTTGTTCTTTTATGCTCCTCGAGGTTCAGTTGGTCGTCCTGTTAGTCACCGTCATGGGAGAGGATGGCGTGGAGGCTTCCTTATAGCTAGTATGGAACAATATTTGAAGTTGGATCTTAGTAAATGGTTGAAGTGGGTCAGAGATCTCGAATTATTGCCGAAAATAGCTGACCAGGATTGGAGCTCAATCTGGTTGCAGAAGTTCGAGGGAAATATCACCATCTGGCCAAAATCAAATATTTGGGATTTCTGGTACATTCTTTCTGACCCCTCTTACGAGAGACTTTCTCAGATGATCACAGCTGGGCAACGAGTTACCTGGCCTAAACTTCATATGATTTCAAATCGATTGAGAATTGAGCGCGCGATTCAAGGTGGTCGGGCGGCGTTGAAACGAGAAGAAAGAAAACAGCGTCGTAGGCTTCATAATCAACAAGGCATTGATGAAGGAACAAGTCTAAATACCAATGAATTACCTCAAGGTAGAATAGAAGGTGGTGAAAATAGTCATTCCAGTGATCTAGACGAATCTGAAGAAATAATGTTCTCACGACCCGAAGGAATAATTGATAGTGACAGCGGAAGCTCTACCAACGATAATAGAAACGGCGTTTGCGAAAGTTCTTCACTTGGAGAGTCATCAACGGACACGTCAACTTCTTCTGATTCAGATGGCGTTGTCACTCCAGAAGATGGACAAGATCTATTATGATTTAATTTTTTATTTTTAAATTTGGACTATTATTTATTAGAATTTCTAAAAAAAAAAAATTTTTTTATTTATGTAGCGGAGGTAGAGTT